TGGAGCAGCTGTTTTTGCCCTAGACGGTTTAAAAGTTAAGTTTTTTACATTTGAATCATCTATTGAAGATGCTCTAACAGACTAATTAAGCATACATTTACAGGCAGTAGTCAATGGCATGTTCACGCGGACTCGCTGCCCTGCTGCGTCGCCTGCGCGCATGCTTACTCAGGAGGGAGGGCGGCGATGTTTAATCCGTCATTAACAGCTCAACACTTGGTTGTGGACTACCCAGCGACTGCTTTGCCAGCTCTGTCTCCGTAAGACAGGACCGAACGATATGTCTCTCCTCTCTTGCATGCGTGCATATGTCCATGTACGTGCAGACAACCTATGCGTCAACTTCACTCGTGTCACCGATGATCGTATCGAAACCGTGTCAATCTGATCGATTTCCACCACTTGTATGACAATTAATATATACAGTGCATGCACAGGTCGTCGTCGTCGTCGTCCTCGCGAGTACCTGGTCAAGTTAATTAGTGCATTGAAAACCATGAGTTTGCCATGTGTGGAGCCCGGGAACGAGCTTAATACAAAGTTGGGTTATCTATTTTAAAACGGATGGAGTAGCTAGCTAGGCTGCCTGAGGGCTGGGGCTACAGCTTGATGGTGTTGCCAACTACAGCAGCCAAATTAAGCTTGTCACTTTTTGCAGTCCCTTGGGTTCGCCTCCCGCGATAGATGAATCAAACTATCTTATTAGGATTAATCGAGGTCCACGTCCACTGCGACTTTGATACTCCCCCTCCGTCATTTCATTTAAGTGATTTTTCCATGTTGTAGTATAGAGAGCAAATTTGATCTTTACAATGTTTTTGATCTTTTACAGCGTTTTCTCTTTACATTTTCAGACAAACTAATTAACGAAATGCATATACTGTTGGTTACGTTGTGACATTGTAATGACCAATGCCACCGAATGCTTCGTGTAGTAGTTACTGAATTAGATGGAACTGGACAGTGCCAGTGCATGCATGACCCATAATGTTATGTCGTTATGTATATCCTTCTTATGTATCTCCCCCCACTTTTTCTTTTACCAAGGGTTCTTACGAAATCTTTTCTGTATAAAAAGAAGTCCACCATTAGACGTGTCCAATGCATTTTCTTTGTCAAATGGTTGCTGCTTAATTATGTGGAAACTCAGAAGCAATTTCAAGTCTAGCTGGTTCTTGAAGAACCATGAACTGACTGCAATAAAATCATATAATGAAAAGCATCACATTGTGTTATTGATTGTGGTTTTATTGATTTTTAACATGGTGCTCTACTTTGGTCTATATATTGTTACTACCTATGCTTTGCTATATATTGACAAAGCGGGCAATACGCGGGCACATAGAAAAGAAAGTAACAAAGTTAAAGTGATGCAAAATAGGTGCTGAGTTAGTTTTCTATATCAAATTAAGCACCAAGATGGCAAATAAGCCACAACTTCATGGCCGTAAGCATAATGGTATAGGTCGATAGGCCGTTCATGGACATAGTCCTCGTGGATCTAGCAACCAAGAATTTTTTATTGTGGAACCTTCGTAATCGAAAACCTCCATCAGCGTGGAGTAGGACAGCCCCAAATATCCAAAGCACGGGAAAACACCGTTGAGCCTACCCGTGTTTGTGTTCTTCTAAGCCTTACTCTTTACTTATGCAAGTTCATTTCTTCCGTCACAATTATGGGGTGTAACACAACAATGGGAAATCTAAGATCCACAATCTCTTCCTCATGTTATTTTTTGTGCGATGTGTCAGTTCTAACTTGTGGTGCTGCTCATCTCTTCGTCCGTGTCTCAGGCTCTCGGCTCATCCCGAACTGACTAACGGGCGGTGTCTCTTCTGCTCTATGTGCCTATAAGCTTGTTATCAATGACTGGTTGCCTAGCAAAACCGCATGCTCTGTTCTGTGTCATATCTGACAGTAGGTTAGTGTTTGTGAGTTGTTTGATAAAAACTTGAAGATACTGACATGATGAGGTGAGGGGCTCCAGTTCTTCAGTTTCTGTGGAACAGTAATAATTGCAAATTTTAAGACTTGCACTTTCACATGATTGGACTTGCATTGCTTTGCTGGTCAATGTGGAAATTGCACACTCTGTGGAATGAAATGTTTTTAAATCTTCTATGACAGTTCATAAACGTTAATTTGAAATCTTCTATGATTCTTTGGTGGTGTTACCGTCGGCGTGTATTAGTATTTTGGGAGCAACATCTCCCACTACGAGGAGAGAGACGGAGAGTATCTTAGAGGCCTTACTTAGAGAATCTTTTATAGCAGATCCAAATTTCACCCCAGGACTCAAAAACTGCAATGTGGAGGCCACCTTAAGTCGTTGCAACCCTGCCTCATAAACCTGCCATCCAGGATCGTCTGTCGCGACGCTGTCGTGCTCGTGACGCCGCCGCCCAGTCCTGCCGATTCTGGCCGTCCCCAGCCCCGCCACCACCCAAGATGGTCACCCATGCACAACCGTCACCCGCCGAGCTCGATTAGGAGCCGACGGCACACGCGAGCCCGGCATCCACTAGCAAACAGCCGTGGGCCAGCTCGAGCTCTCATCGTCGGCCTTTGTTGTAGCCCCGAGTCCCCTCATCCTCCGGCCTCCCTCCCCCACCATCCCTCGCCATACGGCCTCCCCCATGTCGTCGCCAACCTCCATTGGCCGAAAGTGAGCCGGGCGTGCCCGATCTGTTCGGTAGAATGAAGCAAAGGAATTTTATTTTTTTAATTCATTTTTTACTGAACATGATGTGGTTGTGATATATAGTGAATATAGTAGCTGAAACGGATAATTTTACATTGATTTGTAATTTGTCTTGAATACGAGCCAAAATCATATATTCTTTTGTTTATTGTCAGTTTGGATGTGCTGGGAAACTGAATTTTTTGGGGCCTACCCAAATTAATCTTCTGTGTCTTGTATCCATAATGAATTTGGGTAGCCAAAATTTGAGTCCGTTATTGATGGCCTCACCTGACACCTGGTCAACCGGCTGCGCTGCCAGGGCCCATGCTTACCGACGAGGGGAAGGAGTCATTTGGTTCTCTAGCCATCGGCTCCTTGCCAGCTCTGTCCCCGGAATACAGTACCCATATCTCCTCTCTTGCATGACATGCATATGGCCATGCACTTGCGGACAAGCTATGCGTCAACTTCGCTCGTGTCACCGGTGATTGTACCGAAACCGTGTCAATCTGATCGATCGATCGATCGATCTCCAGCACTTAACAATTACCAACACATAATACTAGAGTGCATCCATGCGCATGCACGTCGTCGTCGCGAGTACCTGGTCAAGTTAATTAGCGCACCGAAAACCATGAGCTCGACATGTGGAGGCAGGCAGAGGCAGGGAAGGACGAGCCAGCCAGGGCGACAGCTTGAAGGTGCTGCCAATTAGACCGCCCAAATCAAACCTGTCACTGGCTTGCAGTCACCCATCGTCCTTGAGTTCGCCTCCGGCGATAGATCAGTCCAACCTATTATTATTCCAGGTCCACGTCCACTGCGACTTTGATGCTCTCCCTCCGTCATTTTGTACTCCCTCCCTCCGTCTCAAAATAAGTGTCTTAAGCTTAAGCTTAGTATGACTTTATATTAAAATTAGTATAAAGTTGAGACACTTATTTTGAAGCGGAGGGAGTATAAGTGATCGTTCGGTGTTCTAGAATGCACGTAATGTTAGAGAGCAAAACTTGATCTTTTACAGTGTTTTTTTACATTTCAAACCAACTAATTAATCACATGCATGCATATATTAGTATATACTCGCTCCGTCTCAAAATACTTGTCGGAAAAATGGATAAAAATAGATGTATCTATAATTAAAACACATGTAGATACATTCATTTGTCCGACAAGTATTTTCGGACGGAGGGAGTATTAGATAAGTTGCTAGTACATCGTGATGTTCGTGAACTAGTTAAGTTACAGCATCGGATGGAGATGGATATAGCACCGGTGCATGCATATTGCATGATGGTTCTTTCCTCTATATCCTTCTTAGGAGTGTTCAATATGTTTTCTTAGTCAGATGGCTGCTGCTTAACTATGCGTAAACTCGGAGGCAATTTCAAGTCTAGCTCCTTCTGGAAGAAGCAAGGAGCTGACTGTAATAATATCATCTAAAAAAACACCACATTGTGTGCTCGATCGTGGTTTTTGTTTGTTCTCAACCCGGTGCTCTGCCTCGGTTTATATATTAATTTTTCTTTGGCGAAATGGTTTATATATTGTTACTACCTATGCTTTGATACATATTGACCAAGCGGTGTCGATACATTGGCACACAGAAATGACAGTAACAAAGGTAAAGTGATGCAAAATATGTGTGAGAAAGTCCATATTCTACATCAAATCACCAAGATGGCACAGAGATGCAATTCTCCACTACTCCTAGAAGCCTATGCATGCAGCACCCCATTGTTGAACTGAGATTTGGTGGCCCTGTCCTCTCTTGTTCAGCTGTTCCATCCTTGGGGCTCAGGACTCTGGCTAGCCTGTAGAATATGCAGTCGGTTTCGGTTTTCCCTGTGCCGTAGCACATAGATACAAACGTACGTGCACATCACGAGCACGTACAAAACACTCTAAATGTCACATAGTAAATGAAATTTTAACCTTTTCCTAACAAAAACTACACGTCAGAGCGATGTGTTCCAGTTATCTTCACGTAAATTTTCAGTGTGTCTGCGTCGGCTTACCTCTTGGTAACATTTGCCTTGGCCTAATTGGCTACCTTTGATTTTCAAGAGAAACTTGCACTAGCTATATTTGAATGTTCTTCATTGTAGTGCCGGCCAAGCCAACTGACCAATCTCAATGCAGCTCACAGAATCTTGTGGCTGCGGTTTCGTAGATTCCATCCTGCCGTGTAGCTAGCTTCCAGGTTGACGTAGTATCAGGCCACACTTGACTCCTATAATATGGATCTGTCAGCTTCCTTTTCTCTCCTGAGCTGAGCTATGCAAAGGCAAAACCCTCATTGATTAGTTTTGGCTGATGATAAATCACCTCATGTCAGGTAGAGGCTCCTCAGTCGACATGCACGATTCCTCGTTAGGCTTGATGCAGTTCCATGATCACCACCAGTACATGTACGGCAGCAGCACCGGCCCTTTCTTGCCTCAACACCACGGCTTCATCCACCCCGGGGACGATCGCTGCACCGGCAAGGTCGTTCCTGCGTTGGTCGAGCAAGCCACGGCCGGAGTCGCCGAGGAGGTGGAGTTCGACGCGTGCAAGGAGGGGGGAGGCGACGTCGCGGTGGTGGGTCAAGAGAGGCAGCAGCATGATCAGGACGCGCCGAAGCCGGGCGAGGAGGAGAAGGAGGCCCAGGGCGTGCGGATGATCGCGCTGCTCATGGAGTGCGCCGTGGCCATGTCGGTGGGCAACCTCGCCGACGCCAACGGGACGCTCCTCGAGCTGTCGCAGATGGCCTCCCCCTACGCGCCGTCCTGCGGCGAGCGCCTCGTGGCCTACTTCGCCAGGGCCATGGCGGCGCGGCTCATGAGCTCCTGGGTCGGCGTCTGCGCGCCCGTGCACCCGTCCTCCGCCTCCTCCTGGTCCGGCGTCCACGCCGCGTTCCGGGCCTTCCACAACGTCGCGCCGTTCGCGAGGTGCGCCTACCTGGCGTGCAACCAGGCCATCCTGGAGGCGTTCCGCGGCAAGCGCCTGGTCCACGTCGTCGACCTCGACGTCGTGCCGGGCGGCGCGCTGCAGTGGCTCTCGCTGCTCTCCGCGCTCGCGGCCCGGCCCGGTGGCCCGCCGGTGCTCCGCGTCACGGGCTTCGGCGTCTCGGCGTCGGCGCTGCACGACGCCGGCACCCAGCTCGCCGGGCTGGCCACCAAGCTGGGCATGCCGTTCGAGTTCTACGCCGTCGCGAAGCGCCCCGGAGACGTCGTCGACGCCGTGGCCGACCTGCCGAGCAGGAGGCCCGGCGAGGTCGTCGCCGTGCACTGGCTCCGTCACGCCCTGTACGACGCGGCCGGGGACGACGTTGTCACGATGCGTCTGGTGCGGTGGCTCGAGCCTAAGGTGGTCACGCTGGTGGAGCAGGAGAGGGGGCCTGCCGGCGGTGACGGCGGCCAGTTCCTGGACCGCTTCGTCGCCGCGCTGCACCACTACTCGGCGGTGTTCGACGCCCTAGGCGCCGCGCGGCCGGCCGACGGCGACGCCAGCAGGCACCTGGTAGAGAACGGCGTCCTGGGCAGGGAAATCGGGAACGTGCTGGCGGTTGCCGGGCCGACGAGGAGCGGGCGGGAGATGTTCGGAAGCTGGCAGGTGGAGCTCGCACGAAATGGTTTCCTGCGCGCCGGCGCCGTTGGGCGCGCGCAGGTGCTCGCCGGTGCGTGCCCGGCGGGGCTGGGCTACACGGTGGCGGATGACCATGACGGCACGGTGCGGCTGGGGTGGAAGGGCACCCCACTCTACGCCGTCTCGACGTGGACGTGCTGCACCACGGCCCATGCACGAGCTTAACCAAGTTGGTGCGCGCGCCTGTCACCATATGCCAGGTTTAGCTACGTCATTGCGAGACGGGCTCTCACAGATTTAGCTCCATTTGGCATATCGTGGCAGTAGAGATGAAAAATATTACAATAATTGTTGTTTCTGCATGCTAATTTTCAGTTCCTTGCTACTTTTTCTACCAAAATCTGCACTGACACTTCTAAGCTCAAAATTATCTTTGAAAGTGCACAACTTTAGTGAAATGTTGGTACTCTAGCAAAATCTCAGTCACCTAAACCTGCACACTAACACTGCTCAGTTCAAAATTATCTATAAAGGGCACAAATTATCTGTGGAGTACCGTCTTTGGTTCTATTTGGAGGAGTTGATGTGAGGATTATTTTTTTTCGAAACAGAGGCAAAAGTTTTGCCTCATCGATTAATTAAGAAGAAGAGAATTATCCGATTAATTTATGGAAAACCGGGCGAAAACCAATACAAACAAAGCACGAACAAACTACTCCCAAGACATGAAACCCCACAACCACACAGGCGGCCCGCCAAACTCTCCAAAAACACAACATCCACAAACCCCTTCACTGCTACTACACCAAGTGACTCCCCACGAGAACACCTCGACACAAGACATCAAGCACCTCCCAACCCACAACGAGAACCCAAACAAAAAGGACAAGCCGAGAGACCAAAGATCATCCATCAAGCAGCCATAGACACCTTGCTTTTGGCATCATTTTTGCCTTTGCCCGCCTTTCTTTGTTTGCCCCTTATTGACGTCCCCGTCAGGAGACAAGCAATTGACCTGCCCAAACCCGGTCTAGCAACCTCCACGCTGGCTAGCAAATCACAGAGTTCCTTCGCGAAAAGAGCATTTGGATTTGGAGTAGGTGCCAACACAAGTGGCTCAATGGTCATGCCACTCACAGGCATCACCTGCTCGACGGTCGCAGACGAGGGAAGGGCAGCAACATCTAAAACTCCATGCTCCACGATGCTGAGAGATAGGTTGTCCGATCCCTGACAAGGCTCCACGAGTGGTGGTGAGGACACCAAGTCCACCTCCGAAGCCTGACAAGGCTCCACGGGGGGTGGTGAGGACAAATGGTCCACCTTCGAAGCCCGGAGAGAGCCCAACTTGAGCTGCTCCATCGACACAGACGAAACATGTTCCCCACACAACACCTGCAACTCAGGCATGATCTGCAGCACCGGAGACACAACCTCGGCGGATGCCTCACCCACGGAGTCCGGCAACACAAGGGGCGTCGAACTAGACCCAACACGGGGCGAGAAGCTACCAAAGAGCTCCGTATCCGCCTCATCCATGAATCCAACAGAAGACTCAACCACGGGAGCCTGTGCAAGAGGGAGCCTTTGCAGAGTAGCCTCCGCGCGCTCCAGAAAGCTCCCAATACGCACCATCCAGCCTTGCAAGGAGTCGGCGACCTCGCGAAGCGGCTTAATTGCCTCCTCCATCTATGAGGAAGTCATGCAATGAAGATCAGATCCTAACAACTTCGAGTGCACGCCTAGAGCAGACTGGAGCGTCACATCTATCGGGACAGAAGGAGTCTTCATGTTGGACGGGGCCTCATGTTTCTCAGATGTTGATGAAGGCGCAACAATCGAAGCCCAAGAATGAGCCAGCGGCCGAACAGAACTTGCAAAAGGCTGCGGCTGCACCGGCTTGAAGCCATCCCGTGCATGGTGTCCCAAGCGAAAGCATTGGTTGCACCGGATTGGATCCCAGCACTCGGCCGCTTGATGACCTTTTCCGAAGCAACGAAAACATCTATTCCAGAGCCACGCGGGCAGCCGAGGGCGCTGATGAGGCATGAAAGCGGAAGATGGCCGAGGTGCCAACCGTGCACGGCGGGACTGGACAAGCTTCCAGCCTGCAGCGTCCTCCACGAGCCCCACGCATGCCGCATCCGGCCCGACGAGGAAGTCTGCATCTGCGTCTGCACCAGAGACCAGGGGGCTGGAGCTCAACAAGGCAGCAGGTGACCGGCCGCCGCCCGGCCCCTCCACGACGACGTCCTCAGAACACAAACGACGACGCCCGGCCCGACGAGGATTTTTTTATAAGGGGTTAAACCCCCGGCTTCTGCATCAATCTATGCATGCAGCCATCTTTACTGATTATTCCACAAAGGTCTGACAAGAATATACATCAATTCACCCGAAGCCACCACTCACACCTACAAACTCTTCTCATATTTAAAATCGGTTTTCTCTCCAGGGCAGCAGCAGGATTGATGCACCGACGGTTCTCCATGCCTCCATGCTCTCTCAGATGGTGTGCAAGATACCCTGGATGGGCAATGCTTTGTGCTTGAAAACCCTATTGTTTCTTTCCATCCACAGCTCCTGGCCTAAGCAGCTGTTTTTTCCTTTGATACTGCTCCCTACTTATAAATAAAATGCCAACGATTTGCTGGATCTTAAAAAAACATATCTAAAACCGGTGTCATCGCCAACCATCCACATAACGTATTGGGACCAAAGCGCACACCACATGCATACGTTTTATAAGCCGTCATCATCATCGGACCACTTACCCATCTTCAGGAGAGAGATCCGCATCATCCTTACCAGTACGGACATCCGTCGACGCCACCACGGCCCCCAACGACGCCACCGCCCTGCGCTCGTTTGTCTAGACGCGAAGACTCTAGAAGATCCATCATGTGTAGCACCTGCCAACCAGACATGACTCAGCGTACCACCTGTCAGTCAGGCATGACTTGACAGCTCCACCGAAGCTCCATGCAAGACAAAGCCGCTCCGCCTCCTGCCTCTGTCTTCTAGCGCTGCTCCACAAATGATACTCCCAACGGAGAAATGACACCGTAGTACCGTCATCGTCCGATCTGAAAGACCAAACCCTAGGGTTTCCCCCAAAGCAGCACGAGTGTGTCGAAGTTACACGACAATACCTTCACCAAGGTAACGGCGCAAAACACCGTCATCACTCGCCAACAGCTCGGTTTTCACCGGCAACTATGTCTGCCCGACTCGTAGCCGGGACTAGATGATGAATCTCGAGATCCGACCACCCAGCCATAGGCCTGTGATAGCCTGGCTTATTAGGGATGATAGACTACTAATATCAATAAAGAATTCCATCTTTTTTGGAAGCCCATTCGGACAGAACTCCAAAGTTAAGCGTGCTTAGCTTGGAGTAATTTTAGGATGGGTGACCGAACGGGAAGTTGCTCCCAGGTGCGCACGAGTGAGGATAAAGTGCGCAGGAAAGACTAGTATTGATCTATGGGGCCAGTCTAGATCCCGCCAAGAGTAACGGCCACTGGCGGGTGTGTCCGGGGCGTTACAAGTTGGTATCAGAACCGACCCTCGCGGTTACACGGATGTTTGCGAACAGGTGCGCGATCATGTTGTTCATGACGTTTGTGACTCGTCGTGGCACATGGCATGGCACATGTACCGGACTGTCTGCACAGACGTAAGTGCCAAGAGGGAACATTCCTATGGCCCGACGAGGATGTCGGTTCCTCTGAGTGGGGGTGTATGTGATAGCGTGGCTTATTAGGGATGATAGACTACTCATATCAATAAGGAATTCCTTCTTTTCCGGAAGCCTATTCGGACAGAACTCCAAAGTTAAGCGTGCTCAGCTTGGAGTAATTTCAGGATGGATGACCGACCGGGAAGTTCCTCCTGGGTGCGCACGAGTGAGGACAAAGTGTGCATGAAAGACTAGTATTGATCTATGGGGCCAGTCTAGATCCCGCCAGGAGTAACGTCCACCGGCGAGGTGTGTCTGGGGCGTTACAAGGCCGACCATCTCTAATGGAAGAAATGACCATCATCGCCGGCTGCACAGGTCAGAACAGATCTAACCGGAGGTGGCACCGGCACGACCACCAGGCCCTCCACGCCGCCGCCGCCGATCCAAAGGCAGATGGCGCGCCGCCGCCGACGACGACCGCAGCGCCACCAACGACGACTACAGCGCCGCCGCCTAAATAGGGCAGGCCGCTGCACCCGCAGCCCGCGCCGCCTCCGACGCAGCTGCGCCCCAGCCATCACCATCGCAAACATTGCCACCACAACCGCCATTTGGATGCCGGCTGGCCGCCACACCGCTGTAGTCCAGATCTGGGCCGTCATGAACCGCCGCGCCCGCAGCCCGCGCCGCCTCCGACGTAGCCGCGCCCCAGCCATTACCATCGCAAACACTGCCACCACAGCCGCCAATAGGATGCCGACTGGCCGCCACACCGCCGTAGTCCAGATCTGGGCCGTCATGAACCGAATTGGCGCCGCCGCAGTCCAGATCCCGCGTCACCGTGTCACACCCTCGAGCCAGGGTACCCCGCGTCACCCTATGACCCGCGAGAGGGAGGAGTGCCTCCGCAGGCTAGGGTTAGAGCCCCTCGGTCGCCCGCGCTGGGGCGACGGAGGGGATGGGAGAAGAGAGATGTGATCTCGAGGGGTGGGCTCTCAAGGCCTTATTCGTAGAGTTGGAGATGGGGCATCTCTTAAAATTGGAGGAGAATTTCACTTCCCCGGCCTCTGCACCAACTAAGGATGCATACGGCATTTTTAGGTATGAGTACTAGGATTATTGATATCAGTTAGGCACCGATATTAGTCCTTAATGATAAATGCGTGAGTATCAGGAAAGCCTGGACCTCAAGAATAATTAGGGACCTAAATTCGCCTTCGTGAGGATTTGAACCTAGGTGTTGTGTTTGTATATCCACTCCCCCAACCAGTTGAGCTAGGCTCACTGCCCATGCGAGGATATGGTTGAAATTTTCTAGTGTTTTTAAAATGCAGCAGGGAGATTTACTTCAATCAGTACATATTTTGCCAGCTAACTGTATTATTTCAGAAATCCACATAAACCGCAAACTAACTTAAATGTGCCGTGGCAATTGCTCCAATTCGTTTCTTTGATGTACATAAGATTTTGTCTTTTATTTCTTCACACGTGTTCAAGGCTGCTAATTGTAATCAAAGAGGATGTTAAGGAGGAACTCATG